GGGCCACTGAAACTAGGTATGGTAGCATATGCCTGTAATCCCAGCACTAGGGAGACTAAGACAGGAGCATCTCTACGAATCTGAGCTGTGGAGCGAGACCCTGTACCAAATAAACAATCTTTTTAAAAATATATTAAAACTAAAACAACAAAAATATAAAATACTTTTTAAAAAGAGCTGGAGGTGTGGCTCAGTATAAAGAGCCTGGGTTCAATCCATACTACCACTGTATTTTTCAATCATACTGTGTATATAACAAATGCAATCTGTCCAAAAACATGATTATTCAAAGCCAAAATGCTTTGTGAAACTCTATATTTTAAAGAAATCAACTCTAGAACAGTATATACTTGTTGAAAGAAACTTTAGTTGCAGATATTTTTTTCTAAATCCTGCTAAGAGTTGGCATGCACATATCAGCGTTCACTAGAATTTATGCTCTTTATGAAGAGGAAATTTTATAAAAAATGCAAGAGTAAATTGTTTGGAATAATAATATATCAATATATCATCATTTAAAAAGCTCACTTAATGTAACACACATCTTTTATCTATAAACCTCAAAGGCAATCAATTTACCAGATATATCTAAAACACAACAGAAGTGCAAGAAAGAGAATAAATCAGATCTTCCATTCTTTCCTTTAATTCAATCAATCCTGAGTTTACTAAATGTCAATGAAGTAATCATATCCTTTTTCTCCAATTCTGACATGAAGGATAACTACCTTCACTGGAAAAGTTATCTAACCTCTTTAAACTAACACTTTCTTACCTATAAAGCAAAAATAATAATAGGACTTCTAGGTTTGTTGTGAGGATGGTATGTTTAATACCTTTAAAAAAGTGTTCAGGGGACTGAGGATAGTTCAGCAATGGAGTCCTTGCCTAGCATGTACAGGGCTTGGTTCAAACTTTAGCACCAGAGAAAGAAAGAGAGGAAGGAAGGAAAGAAGGAAGGGAGAGGAGAGGGGAGGGAAGGGGAGGGGAGGAGAGGGGAGGGGAGGGGAGAAGAGAGTGTTTAGTACATAAGAATCATGTGATAGTATTACTATCTCACAAAAGTCAAGTGCTTTATTATAAATATAGATTAAAAGAAACATAGATTACTAATATTTGAGGACTAAAAGATTTTGAGATGCTACACCAACCTTCTGCTCTTCAAATATGGCATACATACTCTTTCCTTAAGGTCACTGTACCCATTATTCCCTCAAACTGAAATTTTATCATTGACTCCTTCACTGGCTTACAGTGTTTGCTCAAATGTCTTTACCAATGAGACCTACCCTGACAGCCAACATCTTTGAAATTGCAACTATTTTGTTTCACTTTTGCTTTACATTCTTCTTACTGTACTTTGTACAGTATGATATAATTTTTATAATTGTTACTGCCTGGGTTACTTCCCAGTGACATAAGGGATTCTTATATTATTTTCACTGATACTGCCCAAGTAGTACTCAAATACTTGGGATTTTAATCATACACTAGTCTATTTCCTTCATGTTACAGATAAGAAATTTGAGAAGTAACTTCAATCAAGGGTACCTATGGGTAAGAAACTGAGAGAATACCAAAAACTGTGACCCTCAACCCAATGCTCTTTTGACTATAGCTCACTATCTCATTGATTCTAGAACATTACAAAAAACATCATAATCACTCACATTTTCCTCTAGGACAATTTAATTTGCGAATTTCTTGTCCTTGCAAATGCTGTTGTGTCTGAAGTACACATGGCTCTGACACGCAGTGGAAGCACTAAGTGTCAAAAGATAAAGCTCACTGACTTGGAAGGAATATCCCAGAGTTCTGATGCAGGGTCTGCTATTTTAATTCCAATTCTGATGACTTAGAAATGGATGCTAAGCTCATAAATGGCTGCCACTGTGGCTGGCCAGTAGACTGGATGCATGCTAATTGGTGCTGAACTATTTTTTTCCCCCAAAGGGGAAATGTTTGACTACATCTAATACCTGAAGCACTCGAAACTGATCTAAATGCTATATTACATATTGTTGTCCCATTGCCGCAGGTTGTAAGTGTTCTTGTAAAGGAGCTACAATCTGGACCATGTCTGGAAAAGTCTTTAGAATATATCATAGATGTTGTACAGCAATTAACCACTAAGAAGAATATATGCAGTGTATTATTTGTTGAAACTGTACTTCTGATTTGATTTGAAACTGTCTCATTGCTGTTTATCAATAAAATTTTGAAAAAAAAAAGAATATATCATAGATGAACTTGGTTAGGTGCCTGTGAAAGATTGCTGCAAGCTTCTTGAAACTTCTTTAGTAGACAACTGATAGGTGTTTTTTGGTACTTGCATATGAGATAAATGACTCATCTGATGATGCAGAATGAAAGCTGAGTAAGAAGCCTGACTTGAAATTAGATGTACAGTATTTGGGAAAACTGTACTGATAGATGAATAAATTGGACCTGGGGCTGAAAATGGACCTGCTCAGTAAAGCACAACTGCCCAGGAAGCTAAAGTTGTCCTCCACTGTTTTCTGAGATTTGCTATTATTTGACTGGGTCTGAATTTTTAGCTCTTTGTGTCCAAAAATCAATGTCTACCTGGAATGGATCCACTAAATGTTGGGTACTAAATAAAGGTGCAGTAGAATATGCCTGTGTTAAATATATGTTTTGGTCCAGTGTTAAAGAAATACTACCTTCGGACTGTGTTAGATAAGCTTGTTGTTTAGAAGTTCTTGCTACATAAGGTGGTACAGAATATAACTTCTGATGTGCAGAGTTTATAATGGGTACTTCCTTGCTATCAAGAGGGTTTACTGTATAGTATATAGTTGCTGAGTTATGAAAGCTGCCTGTTCAGTTGTCTGAACAGTGTAAGCAATTCTTTAAAATAAACATTTTCAAGAGGCAGTTTCTGATAAACTGTTCCATAGACTGCGGAGAGTAAGTGGCCTGGTGTGGAAAGGTAATTGAGTGGGAGATTGTACTAGATAAACAGGCTACCATTGGGCCAATGTCAAATAAGAAGGCTGTTCTGTAAGAGGGACTGGATAAGAAGTCTGCATAGAATGGACTAGAAGTGATCCCAGTTGTTGCACAGTGTAAAGTGGATATTCTGGGGCTGGAAGTGAATAAAAATGATGTGCTGGAGCCTAGATTGGGTAAACTGGCCATTCTACATAATTTAGGGGAAAAATCATTAGGGCTGTGATTAGGGCTTGTTCAAGGCCTAGGATCTTGCCGCGTGAGCTGGCTATGGTGCGCAAAAACATAACTCCATGTGCCTCTGGTCACAGTTCAAGCCTCAATGATCTCAAGATGCTGTGATACCCTAAGGCACGATTATATCAGCTGAAGACATGCTGGTTCCTAGAGAACCACAGAGTAATTTACAAAAAGGGGGAAAGGACAGACCACCTTATTAACTCCATAGACAAAAGTTTATCAGCGTCATCAGAAATGATCTTCATGAACATAAGATCCTCATTCGCATAAAGCCACTGCTGTCCTCAAGTCATCAGATAATCTCCTCATGGGTTTCCTCAATGTAAATGTGATCAATAAATACCAAGGTTCTGGCTGCTTTGCAGCCTTTTGCTCCCCATGAGTAACTGGTGATCTCAGAGCTCCCTTGCATCACTATTTCATCTCCTGCTCTTTCTTTTCACCATGCGCCATTAACACCTTGTAGAAGAATGGGGTCCACTGCAGGGGTCCCTAATCAATGACACCTTCACATGCCAGACAGTGGAATTCCCAAGAGAAAAGGCAAAGGATTTCAATATAACAGCTATCATGAATGCAAATGATCTCTAAAAAGAGGGAGCTGGGTGAATACAGGTTACCTATAACAATATATAGAGTGTGGGCCACCATGTTCATAAAAGAGACCCAGATAATCAATGTGCTTGCTTATGTGGGTTTTAAATAGTACATACAAGGGCAGGCTACAAAAAATAATATGTATTCAAAATGTACATATATCTACAAACAAAATTATATATTTGTACATAGAAAAAAGACAAACCTAGAAGCTACCTTCTAAAAGTTGTTCTAAATAGAGGAACAAGTGATTTTCTGTTTCTTCTTTATAACTTTACGGGCTCTATTTTTAAGTAAGCAAACAATACTTTAATAATAATTTTTAGAAAGTGATAGTCATTAAGCTTATTGAAGAACTATAATGAATAATACCAATCTCTTGAGAGAAACATGTAGGGTATTGGGTAACTAAAGAATTCACAGGAACTTAAACCATTTTATTTCCACAGTGCAAAAACACATAAAGGAAATTGTGGGAGGAAAGGGATAAACAGGTGAAGGCAAAGAAAAGGTCGATCACGTGTCAAGAGTTTACAATCTAGGCAACCAGAATGTAGTTCGGATATATGACCTCACAAAAAGACTATGTACTGATTGTAAGAAATGAATAATGCCGACTTTACAAGTCTAAAGGCAAAACTTCTTTTTTTTTTCTACAGAAGTAAACATGGGGGCCGGGGAGATAGCTCAGTAAAATAAATGCTTGCCTGGCAAGCACAAGGGCCTGAGTTCAATCCCTGGTCCCACACAAAAAAAAGTAAACCTGAACCAAAACCAAGTGAAGAATGTAAATGATTGTGCTGGAAATTATTACAGACTATAAAATATTATTCCTGATTAAGTGCAACACATACTCCTCCACATTCAAACCAGGCAGGAAAAGTTTGATACAAAGAACAAACTACTATTACCAAGAAAAGAGCAAGTTCTAAATAAGTCTTTTGTCCATAAACTCAGTTTTCTCTTGCTTCTTCAGTTACACAAGCAGTGTTTCAACACTCTATGTTAGTGTTAGATATATCCTCAAGACAAATGTCTTGAATGAAGAAAAACATAAACTTTTAGTTTTCAGTCAGTGACCTTTACCTAAACTCTGATGAATTTATGCAACAGATGCATTGCTTCTCAAAAACATCTAGGGAGGATTAATTTGTTTAAATAAATACAGAGCCTCTAAAAATGTGTCCTACCTTTATATGTGAGACCTTCTGGACAGTTAATGGGGTAACTTGAGGCTGTGAAACAACTGCAGATCCAGGGACATGGACAGTGGACTGACCTTGAACCACAGGCAAAATCTGGGGCTGAGTCAGCTGTGGCTGCAACTATTAAATAAGATAAGATTAAAGGTAAATTCTCCCATTTATGGTAAATATACTTTTTTTTTGAAGCAAAGTCTCAGTACATAGTTTAGGCTAGCTTTGAACTCACTATGTAGCCCAGGCTGGCCTTGAACTCTCAGCACTTCTCCTGACTTAGCCTCCCGAGTGCAGGGATTACAGGCATGTGCCACCATGTCCAGCTAATATACTATTATATACTTAAAATATAACAGTTCTCCTCACCCCTGAAATTTGCTGGCAATGTCCTACTAATTGTTGAGATGGATAAATCGGCCCTGGAACATTTATGTCAGCTTGCAGGACGTTAGAAGTCATTTGAGAGCTCATCATCTGGTTTGAAGAATATGGTAAACTGGGCTGGCTTGAAGAATCTGAATGTATAGTTGATCCAGCTTCTGCTTCAGACAAATTATCACCTATAACACATAAAAGAAGCAACAGGTAGAAAAGAAAACCTGAAACAATGTCTAAGTGATACAGATAATAAATGTTTCTATAATGGATATTATTTTTATCTTGACAAACAAAAAGAACTTCAAAAAAGTATGTACACTGAAGACCAAATAAAAAAACAATCACATAAAAAATTTAAAAATATTTTAAAAAACAATCATGTAAATGCTACATTTAAGGAATGAAATGTTAACATTATAGTACGACTAAAATTTCCTTCTTTCCTTCCTTCCGCTCTCCCTTCCCCCCTCTCTGTGGTGCTGAAGATGGAATCCAGGGCCTCATGCACGCTAAGCACACATAGTCTGCTAGGTGTTCTTCACAAAATAAAACCTAAAAACAAAGAATCACATAAAAATCAACTCTATTCGTTAGCCATTTCACATATCTCCCTAACTAACTACACTTAGCATTGGAATTTCAGTAAAATATGTCATAATCACTTTTTCCTAGGAACTGGGTAGAAAAAAATACTATTTGTAGAACATATGTTTATTACTATGTAAATACTGTGTACTTCCAGAGAAAAGAATGTATTATAGCAGGAAAAAATAGAGAAATTCTTTTGGTGATACTGGGGATTGAACTCAGGGCTACTGAACTGAGTTATATTGTTATTTTTTGAGACAGGGTCTTACTACCTCACTAAGATACCCAGGCTGGGATTCAATTTGTCTTCTTCATGCCTCAGCCTCCTAGAGTTCTGGGATAACTGGTAGGTGCCTGACAAAAAATGGAGGGCTTTTGTTTATATTTCAATCAAAAACACAGTCTTAACATCTAGAAAAGTCCTTCCTTGAGGAATAAATAATATCTTTAGCTCCAAATTTCCTTTACTAAAGGATTTAAATTATACCCTTAAAAGTGTTAGGAAGGGGGCGGTTGGGGAGATGGCTCAGTAGAATAAATGCTTCCCTGGCAAGCGCAAGGGCCTGTGTTTAATCCCCAGTTCCATCAAAAAAAAAAGTATTAGTAGGACTAGAAATACATCTATGATCCCAGCATTCGGAAGGCTGAAGGAGGAGGATCTCCATGAGTTTGAGGCCAGTGTAGGCTATATAAGTGAGTTTAAGCAAAGCCTACACCATATATTGAGACCCTGTCTCAAAAACAAAAAAACAAAAAACAAACGTGTAGTCAAGACTGGATGCGGTGGCAAATACCTGGAATCCTAGCTACTTGGGAAGATGAGACAAGATTATGAATTCAAGGCCACCCTGGGCTACATAGTAAGACTCATATTTTAAGATAAAAGAAATATAAAAATGAGCAGGGATACAGTTCTGTAATAAAATGCTTACACAGATGCCTTAGTTCAAATCCCAATATCAAGTAAACTTTACTTTTTCTCTGAATAAAAATAGTGAATATAATCCTTATGCAAATCACACCTTAGACAAGACATTCAACAGAACAGTTAATTAACTTATTTGTCTTTCAGAGACAGGGTCTTGTTGTACAGTTGAGGATGGCCTCAAAGCCAACAATCCTCCTAACTCAGCCTCCCACGTGCTGGGATTACAGACCTGAACCACCATGCCCAACCTATTTATTTTTTGAGATGGCACCTCAATATTTTTCTTGGTCTCAAATTACTGGGATCAAGAAAATCTCCCTCTTCATCATCTCAAGTGGCTGAGACTATAGGTTTACATCACTGTGTCCAGCCAGAATTTCTTAACTTTATTGTTTTTGTTTTTAAATTAATTTATTTATTTATTTATTTATTTATTTATTTATTTATTGGATATAGGATCTTGGTACGTAGTTCAGGCTCACTTTGAATTTATCAGCTGGCCTCTAACTCACAATGATCCTCCTGCCTTGGCTTCTGGAGCACTAGGATTATAGGCATATACTTTTTATGCCCAGTTTTCTCAATTTTATTTGATTTCATTTCATTTTTTGAGACAAGGTCTTGCAATGAAGTTGGCCTTGCACTATTGTAGCCCAGACTGGCCTCAAACTCATAATAATCCTCTTGCCTCAGTGTTCCACATGCTGGAATTACCGGAGTGTGCCAACACATCTGGCCCAGTTTTCTAAATTTTAAAATAAGGCTACTTACCTTATTTGAGATATTATAAAGAATTTACAGAAATGATAAATAACAGAATACTTTGAAAAACACAGACATGAAACTTAAAGACAACTTGCTTTTTCAAATTGCATCTGTTTTTACCTCTCACAGAGAAACAATCCTGCTGTGGTTTTCTTTGTAGAAGTTGTTGTTTAACATGTTGATCAACTTCAGTTTCTTCACATTCCACCCTACTGTACTGAGGAGGAGCAGGGGGCAAAGTTGTAGTTTGGTGCTGAGTCAATACAGTTCCTATCATAGACTTGCACTGTGAATCTCTGTGTTCTTCCGAACAACCAGCAGACTTCTTCTCTCTGGACTTCTTTATCAGGGTCACCCGGTCTCTAATGGATTTAGCTACTGCTTTGGAATCACTTTCATGGAAGAACCCAGACTTGACCTATAAACAAAACACAATAAGCAAGCTAACATTTAAGAATTTAGCCTTTTTTGTCACTACCAACATTATTTTATATCCAAAATTCAAACTGTTATAATCAAAGATATACATATATGCAACAGACTTTAATTGATACTAGAAAACTATCAGTATTACCAAACATTATTAAAATACTTTCAGGCTGTAAACAAAAGTAAGCAAAATCTGATGTTTCAGTATGGTACATGTAGCCTTATTACAAATAATTTATGGCTTCCATTAAGTTTTGTGAAAGATTAAGACTTTCATCATTCCACAGTGTCTGCAAAGTTTCCAATACTGAGCATCAGAAAGATACATGTGACTAAATTACTCATTTTTCCTGTCTGAGCACAAAATCTGCGAGTATGAGATGGATATAAACTTAAAATGAAATGAAGTAAAAGTGAGATGCTGAAAAAGCTCTGAAGGAGAAACATATGCCTCTCTGGATTAAACAGAGAAGGTGTCACAGAAAAAATAAATTTGGATCTGGATTAAAGCCAAAAGAAGAATAAGCAAGCTACTAAGGAAAGCACAAAAAAAGTCTGGAGTGAAGATCAACATTCTGCGAAAAGGGAAGTAATTATCACAGCAAAGTATTATATCTTGCTAGACACTGGAAGAATGAGAAAAGAGGAAAGGGCTCTGCTTTGCTGTCCCAGAGGAACAGGGCCGAGAGGTGGAGAAGATGCTTGAGGAGGTAAAATGGCATATCATTCTCAGTCTTACAGTCTGCCTTTGAAAGCATATCTTGGAGCTGGGCATGGTGGTACGTACCTATAATCCCAGTACTCAGGAGGCTGAGGCAGTAGGACTAATGTGAGTTTCAGGCCAGCCTAGATTACATAAAGAATTTAAGACCAGCCTGAACTCTACAGTAAGACTCTGTCTAAAAACAAAAGCATATTTTGGGAGTCCTACAGACTTCCAGAAGTTTTATGAGTTGAAAAATGATTAAAATGCTAGACAAAACACACATGCCCAATTTTGCACCCCCCTCAAGATTCAAAACATTAAAGACCTCAAACTAAGTGGATTTTAAAATTATAAACCCACAATAACAGGGACAGTGAGAGAAAGATATGGCATATTTAACAGCTTAGAATAGACAAAACCAAGCTAGCAACCTGGTAAAGGTGAACTATAGCAAAATGAGAATCATTACTCTTTTTACTTAAGAGGACTTAGAAAGCACAGGAACTCGCAGCACTGAGTACACTTCCACAACTGAGGATAAAGTCAAAAGAGATGGCTAAAATAAAGAAGACTAGGTTAGAGTTCTGAAAATCAGACAGGTATCTACACCCTACTCTCTATTCCACACCTTTGCATGCTTGTTCCTCTCTTCCCCAAAATCCAGTTTTCTCTTCTGGGAAGGAAAAAAGATAGTATCACTGGACTATAGAACAACAAGCACAGTTGAAGATATGACTATCATGTTAAAACTATGACACAATTATATGTAACTGGACGTCGAATTGAAAAATGGCCCTCTTCACTACTTGGTTAACAAAATAATAAACATATATACAGGAAGAATACTGAAAGATGCTTCCCTAGAGACTTTGATCAACCTAAGATGAAAGGTTTATAAATGTCTTTAAAGATGTCCAGTTAACGGTCCACCCAAATATCCTACCACAGTTAAAGTTAACAAGTCCTAGGGGCCAGGGAGATGGCTCAGTGGAATAAGCGCTCCCTGACAAGTGCAAGAGCCTGAGTTCAATCCCCGGTTCCACAAAAAAAAAAAAAAAAAAAAAAAAGGAAAAAAAATAAAGTTAACAAGTCCTACACAAGCAATCCTATCATCTAGTTAGCTTATTTATTCCTGTGGTAAAAAACATCATTGCCCCTCAGAGATGTTCCCTCCTAATCTCAAACCTGTCCATATGGTGAGAAATCACTTCTATCATTGTGCAAGCTATATATAAGGCTTGCCATGCCAGCCCCACCCGCGGAGCATGCTGAGACAGCGATTGAGACTGGGCATAGTGGCACACACCTGTAATCCCAGTGCTTGGGAGGCTGAAAACAGGAGGATCACTACTTACATAGTGAGACTCTTGAACACCCTGTATTAAATGCATAAAAAAGAAAGAAAGATGACCTTAAGCTAGGGAGACTATCTGGGTGAAGCTTTAACTAGTAGATGACTTGTAAAGGATTCAATACGGCATTGCTGGCTTTCAAGATGGAGTAAGGGGTACATGAAAAAATGGAAAAACAGCTTCTAAATGGTGAAGGCAATCTCCAGCTAATATCCAGGAAAGAAACAAGAAACTCAACTTTACAACTATATGGAATTGAATTCTGTGAACTACCAAGAAGAGCCTAAAATCTGATTCTACCCCAGAGCTTCAGATAATTGGCTCATATATTGTCTTCATTTTAGCTTGCTGAGAATCTAAGTAGAGAATCAACCAAAATCCACAACTTCTGACCTATATAACTTAGAGATAATAAATATATAGCTACTGTTTTAAGTTATGAAATTTGTTATGCAACATTAGAAAACTAATACAATCTGTATTCAATGGAATAAGGGTTTGTTTTTTTTAATCTGTATTCAAAATGAGAGTCAAAACATTAAATTTACAGAGTGGTATGATAATGGTGCATAAACAAAACAAAGAACAAGATCTTTACCCTAAAAAAGGAACATAGGGCCAGCCTGATATCTCAGCAGACTAAAGCACCTGCTGAGGCAGAGTACAGCGGCCAGGGTTCAATCCCCGGAGTGCCATGCCAGCCCCACCCATGGAGCACGCTGAGATAGCGATTGAGACTGGGCATAGTGGCACACACCTGTAATCCCAGTGCTTGGGAGGCTGAAAACAGGAGGATCACTACCTACATAGTGAGACCCTGGAACACCCCATACTAAATGCATAAAAAAGAAAGAAAGAAAGAAAGAAAGAAAGAAAGAAAGAAAGAAAGAAAACAAAAAATGAAAAGAGGCCAGGAATGGTGGTTATAGAACTAGTAAATAAACTGAGCCAGGAGGATTACTGCAAATTCGTGGCCAGCCAGGAGTACATAGTGAAACCCTGTCTCAAAAAAATAGAAAGAAACAAAGAAAGAAAGAAGAAAAGAGAGAAAGATTACAATAAAAAATAACAATAGTTGTTATGTATTATCAAATTTGTTGTTCAGATTACTAGAAATAGGCATGTAAGATTGGTCAAATAATTAAACACTAACTCATTTATTAATTTTCTATTCTTGTTTTGAAATTCTATAGCACTTTTATTGTTTTACGTTGTTTTACTCTTTGTTTTTGTTTTATCCTCTTTGAAAGAAACAAAGAATAGAATAAGCGCTTGCTTGGCAAGTGCAAGGTCTTGAGTTCAATCCCCGGTACCGCAAAAATAAAAAAAAGAAAGAAACAAAGAAAATAAACTCTTGAAATTCAAAACTGATAGTAAACTTGAAAGCTCAATAGAAAACTTAGAAAATAAACAATAGTATCTGTGAGAGATAATGCTAAAAAGACAGAACACCAAAAAAAAAAAAGAATATTGTAGAGGCCAGATATCCAAATAAAAGCAGCTCCACAAAGACAAAATCATCAATTAAATACTTCAAGAAATTTCCCAGACTCAGGTATGGTTGTGCACACCTGAAATTCTAGCATTCAGGAGGCTGAGACAGGAAAATCACTGCAAGCTCCAGACTAGCTGGGGCTACATAGTGAGTTCAAGGCCGTCTTGAACTACTAAGGAAGACCCTGTCTCAAAATTCTCAAACAAAAATCCCAAAAACCAAAGTATACGGTTTGCTGAGTTTAGTGGCACACACCTATAATCTCAGCAAGCAAGTTTAACCCCAGTCTGAATTATATAATGAGTTCAAGGCCCGGCTGAATGACACAGTGAGACCCCATCTCAAAAAACCAAAACACCAAAAAAAGAAAAGAAAGAAAAAAAAAAGGTATACCATCAAATAAACTGAAAGAGCCTAGAGAGTATCTAACTTAGTAGATGGAAATAGATCCAAATTGAGTTATTTTACTGTAAAAATTTACATCACTGAGAAGAAAAAGTAGATATTCCCAAGTGTAAGATTAGGGGTGGGGAGATGGTTCAGTAGAATAAGCCCTTGCCTGGCAAGCACAAGGGCCTGAGTTCAATCCCAGTTCCGGGGAGAAAAAAAAAAGTGTAAGATTATAAGTCAGAACAAATTTAGAATTTTCAACAACAATACCAAAAGCTAAAAGACCATGGAACAATGACTAAATTAAAAAAAAACTATCACCACCTAACCTAAAATGAATTGTCAAGCCAAGCTAGCCAATTAAATATGAGGATAGAGACTGGGCATAATGCGTGCCTGTAATTCCAGCATTTGGGAGGCTGAGAACAGGAGAATAATTATGAGTCCAATCTGTAGTGAGACCCTATGTACCCTGTGCTAAATACAAAAAATAAATAAATACAAGGATAGAAAAAGATATTTTCATACATGAAAGTCTCAATGTACTTCCCATGTATGCTTAAAAAGCCAGCAGAACATGTAAAATATTGTACATACTACAGAGTAGACAGGATATATTATGATTTTTACATCTCTAAATGTTGGTAGAATTAAAGAAATAGTTTATTCCTTTTTAATCTTATAGATTTTTAAACTGAAACAATTTTATATTTGTTTTATTCATTGCTATAGTGTATATTCACTGTACAAATTAAATCTATATGAAAGTATATAAGATGTATTTTTAAAAATAAGTTAGCAGAGAAGTATACCACTAAAACAAAACAATAAGAGATAAAAAAAACATATGATTTAGTAAACATAAAGCCCAATAAAGCTAAAAAAAAGACTAGAAAGACAGGACAAGTAAATATTCAGATGACAGCTGTGCACCGGGTGTCCAAGATTATCATTCCAGATTGAAATAGTGTGACTAGAAAGACAGTCATGATAAGATCTATCATCTCGTTTTAAGGACCCCCAACATCATTGTTCCATCTTTTTTTTTTAACCTGAGGCCAAAATAAGCAGGTGAGCCTGGCTCAGACAGGCTATACCCAGCTGGTCAAGTCCAGTCTTGACCACGTGCTGCCACAACTGTAGCATGCCTCTCCTACCAGCACTGTAGCGGCCTGGAGCAGGTGTGGACATGCTTTTCACGTTAGAATAGTTACCTGCTGTGATCTACTGAGGGTGGGGTATGGTCATGGGGAGATCAGAAAGAGAAAAATCAGTGCAGTCCACACCTCATCCAACCCTACGGTTACTAGACAGCTAACTGCAAGTACACAAAAGAGCCTTGCTGAAGCCACGATTGTGCTGAGCCATGGGCATACTTCTCTGGACTCATTCATGATCCTGTATTGTGATTTCCTCAGAAGCAGCTTTTGTATATGCTAAGGAAGCTGAAAACCAGATAGTGACCCAGAGACTCACTTCAGCTTATCCTCCCCATCAGATTCTGCTTCTGATCTCAACAGTAGTCCCTGAGTAACCAGGTAGGGGTGTATTTCCAATTTAGGTCTTCAAAATTATCATATATTTTAACTGTATAAAGAAAAATGAAAAATAAAGGAATGAATAACAAGAAAGGGTAGATTATGCCTGTAGTGTTCTGGGAAAGGAATGCAGCTGGGAGGGACACATGGGTGGCTTCAAAGGCAATGACAATGTTCTATTTCTTTTTTTTTCTTTTTTGTATTTAGTACAGGGTCTATCTCACCTAGTAGATCGGACTTGTAGTGATTCTGTTTTCTGCCTCACAAGTGCTGGGACTACAGGCAAGTGCCACTATGCCCAGTCTCAATGGCCCTCTCGGCATGCCCTGGGGGTGGGGCCAGCACAGCATACCTGGGATCCATTAGGCAGCTGCACCCTGCCTAAGCAGGTGCTTCAGTTTGCTGAGCTCACTAGCCTGCCCTGACAGTATTCTATTTCTTCACAAAAGTAGCATTTTATTATTCTTTATACTGTACACATAAATTTAATATACTATTTTGAAATATATTTCACAATACCACAATTTTAGTAAAGAGTAAAGTAGAAAATGAGAGGAAAGAAAGCAATAAGAATGAGAAAAGAATCGATCCTTATACCAGTAAGGGATGGGAGAAACAATAGCTAAGATTTACTTACCATTTCATAGGCTACTTCCTCAGGTGTATCTGTTTCTAAATTGAAACTAAATTCAATAGCTTCATTGTCTTTGTGTTTGCCTTTCAATTTTTTAGGATCTTCAACCCAGAGTCTCAAAGCCAAGGATGAATTTGAGCAATCATCTTCCTCTGCTAACTCCACCCTCAGTCCTGTATCCTCAGCAAAAAATGCATGGTTTAGTAGGTCCTTGATAGACAACCTAATAAACAAAATACAACACTTGTCATTAGTTTTTTCTATCATTTTTGTTTTGTTTTGTGCTTTGTGTGTTGGGGGGGGGGGTTTGTTTTGTTTTGTTTGTGGAACCGGGGATTGAACTCAGGCCCTTGCACTTACCAGGCAAGCGCTTATTCTACTGAGCTATTTCCCTGGCCCCAGTTTTTCCTATCATAAGCAAGATGTGAATCCTTTAATTAGTAATAACTGTATCAAAGCCACAACCTTATGTTAAATTTGTCTTGATATAACAAAATCTTATATCCAACTTACTACCAGGGGTACTAAGAAATCCCAGTGGGGCTTGGGAATATAGCTCAACAGCACATTGCCTGCATGGCAGGTGCAAGGTTGTAAGTTCTATTCCTAGTACAAAAGAGAAGAAAAAGAAATCTCAATAAAGTAATTCATCTAGATAACAATTTTTGTTTTTTTTTTTTTTTTTTGCAGAACCAGGGATTGAACTCAGGCCCCTGGCACTTGCCAGGGAAGTGCTTATTCTACTGAGCCATCTCCCCTGGCCCCTAGATAATGAAATTTAGCAAATATAAAAGTATGCCCAAAAAGACCTGAAGGGCCAGCACGATAGCTCAGTGGGCTAAAGCGCCTGCTTAGGTAAGCACGCAGGGACCCTTTAAGAACTCAGCACCACATGACACACCAGCCCCACCCCCAGAGTGGGGGGAGCCAGCCACAAAAAAAAGAGAGCAAGAAAGACCTGGAGAAGTAGTAACATACATATCAGTGCACTGATTAGTATCCCTAAGCCATGTAAGTTACTAATATTGAAAAGATTCCAGGTAAAGAAAAGAAAAAACTGTCCTAGATATAAAGCCTAAACTAGAAATTCAAATTCTTTTACAAAACTTTTAAATACAACTCATTGACTTCACTAACAATAATCTAGTCAATGTACTTCACTCATTAGAAGGATGCCACAGGTGAAGCTAAGGTCGTTCACCAAAGTCCAGTGGTATTTGTCTTGGTTACTTTTCTCTTGCTGTTGGGATAAAACAGCTGACACCCCAATTTTTTTTGGGGGGGGGAACCGGGGATTTAACTCAGGCCCTTGCGCTTGCCAGGCAAGTGCTTATTCTACTGAGCTATCTCCCTGGCCCCCTGACACCCAAAATTAAGGCAGGAAAGGTTTATTTAGTTCAGTTTGAACAGGTTTCAGTCCATAATCAGCTGGCTCCAAATCAGGGTGGCATGGCACAGGTGCAACAGTTCAAAGTGGTAGAAGACAGCAAAAGCAGCAAGAACACAAGCAGGAGAACAAGCCTCTTTTCCTCCCTTATGTTATATATCAACTATCTGCCTGCATGCACACTCGTGCCTTACTCTTCCACAGGTTGAGAGCATATACAAAGTAAGGACCCTGGCCCCTCTGCTCAATCACTCAGTTGAACTTTTAAACTTCTCAAACTGACACCAAGAACTACATCCCACAGTTGCCCAGGATTAGAACTGCTGAGTTACTTAGTTAATATTCTAGAATCCTCAAGTTGACACAATGTATCAACCATGACAGTATTTAACATTGTACACGTATTACTGATACAAGCCTAGCTTCATATCAGAGATTAATCATCTTTGAAGAACAAAGAAAGTAAAAGACACCATAAGAATCTTTCATAAGCTACTGAAGTTAACTACTTTTATGAAACATGTAATATTTACCTGTATTACAGACCAGAGGAGCTCAAATTGATATTTTCCATAATGTCTATGTAGAAAGCCCCTCTTATACTACTTCAAACAGAAAATGCATATGTATAGCATAATTTCCTATATGTGGAGGATTTTCAATCCTTGTATTTTTAGTAATCAAAAGATACCATATTTTGCTGAGTTAACACATCTATAATATTCAAATAACGGAACTAAACAAAAAAGGGGATAGAGATGAATGTCTGTTTTGTATCTATGTATTCAAAATACACAGATAGATATATAGGATAGATACATAGATATATAGTTACATTCTCTTAATGAATAAAGGGATTTGTTCTTTTTTTTTTTTTAAATTTTATTTATTTATTTATTTGAGAGAGAGAGAGAGAGAGAGAGAGAGAGAGAGAGAGGCCAGCTCAGCCCACCAGGGGGCGGGCTGGCTGGCATGTGGTGCTGGGGGATCGAACTGCGGTCCCTGATGCTTTTGCTAAGCTTGTTCCAAGTAGGCGCTCCAGACCACTGAGCCATCTCTCCAGCCCAGGGATTTGTTCTAATAGAGTTTGTAAATAGGATATCATGTCCGCATCTTGTATAGCAAATAACCACTAAGAAGAATGTATGCAATGTGTTAATTATTGAAACTGTCCTACCAATTTGGTTTGAAACTGTCTCATCACTATTTATCAATACAATTATGAAAAAAAGAAATATTAAAAAAGATACATACTTAACTAAGACATTAAAATAGATAAATAAAAATAAGCTTGCTCAAGTTAATTATTTTAATTCTAAAGTAAGATGTGTTTAGCTCTCTGGCTTTCAATGAAAATTTTGTCTAAGCATTTTCAGCCAAGAATACACATTGTGACCCAAATATATGGTGAATGTTTAATTTTTTAAATTGTATTAAAGTAAAAGACATATTGCTATTAGTCCCCCCCCATAACACTCCCCCACCACACTTCAAATACATTTGTCCTATAATTGCTGCCAATTTGTGAAGCAGCTCTGAATGTCATCTTTTGTGTCTTCAGAAGATGTGACTAAAAATATGATACCATTTCTGCTGAATGCCATTCAATGGAAAGGCAGGTTTATAAAAACATTATTTCATTCATTGAATCTGGCACTGTTCAACTTCTAGCTCATCCTCAGTGTCAAAAATGACTATGAAAAGTAAACATTATGAATCAATTCAAGACATCAAGGCAACTAAACACAACTAAAGGCACTTGTGAAAGACTTTCAGAATTACTTGAGGGACAGGAATGATGAGATAAGTGTGTTCAAAGCATACTCTGAAGTGGGTAATGATACTGTGTGTTTTACCACCATAACTTTTTTAAAAAAGTTAAACATTCACTGTATTTTTATTACAATATGAAAGTAGAGCAATAGTCACAGAAAACATGATTTATTAAAAATTCTTAGATATATGTATATAAGCATTATTCTTTCAGTCAGCAAAATATTGCTTATTTTGAGGAACAACTGAATAACTTGCTCAAGCTAAAAGTGAGTCTGCATTCAAATCTTAGGTCTGACATTGAGGACTATGCTTTTTCAATACAGTAATATGCCATTCATTCTTTTGAATATTTAATACTATTTAGTAACAGATCATTCAATACAGACAATGATCAGAATCTACACTAAACAGCTACTTCAACACAGAAAAAAAATTAAGAGGCTGGGCCAGGTATGTAGGTCAGTGGTGCAGCACCTGCCTCACAAGCACAAGGTCCTGAGTTTGATTCTCCATTACAGGGGGTGGGGGGCTGTAACTCAGTGATAGACTGCTTGCCTAGCATATGTAAGGCCCTAGGTTCAATCCCCGATGTAGTAAAAAGAAAAAAAAATGAGTGTCAATAAGAATATTTAGATAGTAGAACCTTCACATATTGCTGGTAGGAATGCAAAATGTTACATACATCTGTGATAAAGCCTTTAGTGGTTATTCAAAAAGTTGAATACCAGAAAATGGAAAGGCATTTCATCTTCCTTGACAAGCAGAACCAATCTTGTCAACATGGGCATACTTCCAAAATTGATATACAGACTTAATGCAAAGCCAATCAGAATACCAACAACATTCTTCACAAAACTGAGAAAACAAATTCTAAAATTCATACAGAAGCAAAAAAGGCCCAGAATAGCAAAAGCAATCCTTGATAACAAGGGCAAAGCAGGAGGCTTCAACATCCTATACCTCAACTTATATTACAAAGCTACAATGAAAAAAAAAACAGCATGGTATTGGTATAAAACAGACATGAAGATCAATGGAACAGAAGAGATGATAAAAAAACAACCTCAAAAACAGGGCTGGCCAGATAGCTTGGCAGATAAAAGCACCTGCTTAGGCAGACACAGGCGACGGAGTTTGACTACTGGCATGGCGTGGTGTGCTGGCCCTGGCCCTGCCCCCGGGGCACTCTGAGACTGGGCATGGTGGCCAGTGCCTATAATCCCAGCACTTGGGAGGCTAAAAACAGGAGGATCACTATGAGTCTGATCTGTGTAGTGAGACCCTGTAGCACTCCTGTACTACATACAAAACAACCTCAAAATTATTAAACTATTGATCTTTGGCAAAAGGGCCAAATGCATATATTACAGGGATGATAGCCCCTTTAATAAATGGTGTTGGGAAGACTGGCCACTCAATTGCACAAGATCAAATCTAGACATATCTCTCTCACTGGCTACTGAAGTCAAAATTCATCAAAGAAGTAAATGTTGAAACAGAAACATTTAGTCTCCTGGAAGGTAAAACAGCTAAGACTCTTAAGGTTAAAGATATAGGCAACACCATTCTGAACAGAACCCCAATTGCACAGGAAATGAAAAGATGGAATCAAAAACATGGGAAATTGAAATGAATACATATTTCACAGAAGACTTACAAATTGCCAATAAATACATACAGAAATGCTCAACATCAACACCTATCAAAGAAACACAAATTAAAACAGCACTGACTTTCTGTCTTAGCCCATAAAAAATGGCCATCATCAAGAAATCAAAGAATAACAAATGCTGTGAGGCTCAGGAAGAAGGTACCCTCCACACTGTTGGTTGGAATGTAAAGTAGTACAACCACTATGAAAATCAGTAAGATACTGCACACAAAGTAATACTAGAAATTCTATTTCAGGGGCCAGGGAGATGACTCAGTGGAATAAGCACTTCCCTGGCAAGCGCAAGGGTCTGAGTTCAATCCCCGGTTCCGCAAAAAAAAAAAAAAAAAAAAAAAAGAAAAGAAAAGAAAAGAAAAGAAATTCTATTTCAGCCAACTATTTCCCCTCT